CAAGGACTAACACAGATAAAGAATATTTTGTGGGCAGAAACTTTTTGGTTTAAACACATTGCATTTTTTACATGGGTGTATAACTAAGGTGGTATTAATATTTTCCATTTATTTCTTTTTGGGGTTTAGCAAGAGCGTCCCCACCCCGAGGTCGGAAACACAACTATCACCACCCCGTGCCGATTGGATCATTGACATCGAAATGCGAAGAGATAAGGTTTAACGCCCACAAGACACAAACTAGGTCATGTGGTTCATTTTTATTTCCATAGGTGTCTTTAGCAGTGAGAGAAAACCGGAGGCCCCGGAGAAAGTTGGACAGGCGACACAAATCCCTGTCACGTACAATCACGCCAGTTGACTCAATGACAGTTCTTATGATACAACGCAGCTGCACTAACCATTAGGTCATCCAACCCCCCATATTAACAAGAAACCTGATCGCTGAGATCTTTCATATATACATCATCTGGTCGCCGGACAAGTCACCAGTATTAATTAAATCTTTGTATATCCCAAAATAGTTTCATTTAAAATACATTTACAATTACTAAAAGTCTATATGCACAATATAATAATGTATAATAATATTATTATCACCAGATTTAAAACGCATATAAACGTCGCCTTAGATATGTTTATCATTTCGCCATAATACTTGAAAGTTAAGCAACAAACTCGTTTGGTATAAAAATAATTTAAGACGACTCTTTTTGACCCGAATACGCCTCGTGTATTAAAACAGTTATCATAAATTACACCACAATTGTAATTAATACATACCTGGTTTCAAAGAATTAAGTTCCATTTTTCTGTTGATTTTTTGTAAAAGCGTTCTGTTATCTGGTACGATAAGAAATACCGATCTACGTGTTAGGGCAAAATAAATCACAATTCTCAACTCTCCATAACATGTCAGATGTGATGACGTCACATGATTCATGACTCTATCATAAATAACCATACAGGTAACAGTAACACACGACTCTCACTTAACGCGAGATATCACGTCATCTTCTTTTGATCTCGTTGGCCTGGTGATGATTTTATGATGTGAGGCCATCATATTGTTTTAAAACCTTTCACAATTCTGAATATTTCTCGATGGTATATATTTAAAGGATATTATTTTTTTTTTATCCCATTTTGAAGGAAGCTTAAAATATATGTTTGTATCCCAAAGATCATGATTAGAAACTGTTCATCATTTGAAAAAGCACTTACGCTTAAAGGCTTTTGCTGGGTATTACGCCATTTTAATTCATGCATAGTAATGACAGTTTATTACGGTGGCTGATTTAGGACACGCAAAAAAAAATAATAATAATATCTCGAGCGCTTGAGATAGTTAAGTCGAGTCCTCGAGATACTAAATCGAGCGCTTGAGATATTAAGTCGAGGGCTCGAGATAGTTAAGTCGAGTCCTCGAGATACTAAGTCGAGCGCTTGAGATATTAAGTCTCAGCTAATGTTTTAAGCTGTATAATTTTGTGCATTATTTAATGATAAACTTGCAGAATAAAGATATTCATTTGTTCGTTTTTACAGCCCATCCGAAGCCGCAATGACGAAGCGAATACCCCCACCCCACCCCACCCGCCACACACACACACACTCCATCCCATGCTCATCAACACTACTAAATATTACCCGTTGTATTTACCCCCTTCCAAATGGGGAGTATATCACATGTTATTATACGAATCAATAATTGTATATATCGAGGTTACAGAGTTTTGCTAGGAGAGACTGACATTTCTTCTTAAGAATACCCAGCTAAAATAAGGTGTAAGGACCGGCGGGGCGGGGGGGGGGGGGTTGAATGTAGAAGCTCGACACGATCGCGCCACTTGCGCCAGGGTTAATTAGTCAATGACCAGTTCCTACATATGAAATAAATAACCTTGGACCAGACCTGAGCTTCTAGATAAGAGGAAATATCATTCTCTCCTAGCAAACACCGTAAGATTTAAATCTGCCTAATGCAGATGTTTCATTTGGCCTCAATTGTTATATAAATGATTAATTAGACAATTAGTCACACGACAAGACCCATAATCCACTTTTAAACATGATTGGGAGTTTATAATTTAATTAACAAATGGATAACCGAGACTTTGTAATCGTAACACTTTAATTGTTATCGTAGCATTGGTAGAAATGACAATCGAGACTACATTGTTGATGAAACAGCTATAACACCGTTTAGAAAGGAGTCATTTTACTGAAATATTCAACAAATGCCTTTTATCTATTTTTTAAACTATTACAACGGAACTGTCAGCTCTTTCTTTATCTAAATCTTACATAATGCATCTCTAAGTGCCCCCCCCCCACGATTTTACTTTCAATTTAGAGAGAGAGAGAGGGAGAGAAATTGGGTTTAACGTCCACTCAAAACAAACTAGGTCATTTCGGGACTAACACATGTTTTAATTTTATTTCAATAATTCGCTTGCGCGTAGGGGTCTTTAGCAGTGGGAGGAAACAGGAGGACCCGGAGAAAACCTACGAGGTTGGACAGGCGACCCTACTCCTTGCCACGTACAACCGGGGATTCGAAACCACGCCAGTTGACACAATGACAGACTTTATGGTACAGCGCGCACGTGCTAACCATTCAGCCACCCAACCCCCCCACGATTTTACTTTCAATTTAAGTCAAAAATGAAAATAACAAGTACTATATAGACCAGGAACCGAGCATGACGTCATCGCACCATTCGATGTGCAAATGTCCAAGGAGCATGCATGCCAAGTTTCATGTCTCTTGCAAGGATGCCCCCCCCCACCAAATTGCAATAACCCCCCCCCCCCCTTCCCACCAACACAACTAGTTCTGCTGTAGTCTCGATTGTGCAACCCCAAATTGTTTATGCATCGACTGTGGGCCTAGATAGATTGTCGTGAATTGGAAATGATCGAGACTTGTATTGTCGAAATTAGTTCAGCTCTAAACGTAAGTCTCGTTAGACTCACTCTGTACGATCAGGGACTTTTTGTTTTGAGTTCCCAGTAAATATTACAAGGCAACTTTTTACTGCTAAACGGTCGCGTGTCAGTCCCTGTTAACTCGTGTACAATGTAAAGGAACATTTTATCTCGCTAGAGTCAGTATGCGCGACACAACATGCGGTTAAAAATACGTCCCCTCCTGCTTAATAGCTTGGCAGAAGCCATTGAAGTCTGGTTAGATCTATTTGATAAGGCCAACTTCAAGGTTTGGTCAAGGTCACGAGATGTCAACAGGGCAAGCTCTAATCCCAACCCTAAACCTAACCATGGACTTAGCCCTAATGTTTACCCTAACTCTAACCTACAATCGCGCTAACAATCACGTGCCCTAATCTTATTTACATCTCAGCGACTTCGACGAAATCTTGAGTTGGTCTTAAAAAATAGATCTAGACATTGAAGTCTAGATATAGGGTAACGCACAATTTTAAGAACCTCGGCGATACGAAGACGAAACGAAATGTAGGTCAGCAGGGAAAAATGGGTGAAATTGAAATTAGGTTTCTTGCAATTTGAAATTATCACTGTTAACTAAGTTGTGGAAACTGATGAACTTAATTTGCATAGACCACGTCTTTAAATACTATCTAGAACTAGTAGGGTTTTGTGACCCTAGGCCACGCCTTTAAATATTGTAGCGTTTTGTGACTAAACCACGCCTTTAAGATAGGTTCCCAGAAAAGTATTTATCGGGTGTTTATTTCCAATAACAGTATGGCGATTTTGGGATATATGGAAAGTAGAAATATCCAATCTTACTAGAAATATACTGGATTCTCTGAAAAACACTCATGGAGCGTATACAGGACAAAAATGTAAGGGTTCCCCCAATCGACAGCCCGACGATTAGGAATATCTGCACGCGTGACTTCGAAGGTTGCACGCGGAGATTGGTAAATTTTATGAAGGGTTAGACGTACAACACTTTCTGAGATAAAAATCACGGAGAAAGACGCTGCCAGTGGATAATCCAAGAATTTACTTAGGATTCCATCTTTGTAATAAATAGTCAGCGATTAAAGACAGCATCGTCTTGTATATGCAACGAATTCTCCTCCGACTTCGCACCCGTTACTAGGTACCGAGAGAGACAAGTCACGTGACACAAACATGACCTCTTTTGATGTTCTGTTCTGAGAACATGTTCTAGCATGTTCTGAGAAGAATTTGAAGCAAAATTATGATAAATGAATTAGTTTGAATATGTTTTTAGTCCAAATATATCATCAAATCACACAGTTTGTACGCGGGAATGTACCTTTAAATATTGTTGACTCTGCACGACATCTTTAAATAATTTTGTTATTATTGCTATTTTATTATATACCATGACTAGTGGCTTTGTTTTTATCCATAACTAGTTTTAACACGCAACTGTAATTGTCATAATATAACAGGTCACCATGCCCATACGCATAACCAGTGTCATATCTAATATTATGTTACTGGAGATGGTTATATCTAGATGTAAATACAAACTTTGTAGGGAGGGAGGGAGTGAGAGAGAGAGAGAGCGAGAGAGAGAGAAGGGGGAAGGATTTAAAGCCCATTCGACACAAACTAGGTCATTTCGGGACTAACATATATACGATTCAATTTTATTTCAATAATTCGCTTACGCGTAGGGGTCTTTATCAGTGGGAGGAAACCGGAGGACCCGGAGAAAACCCAGGAGGTTGGAGAGGCGACCCTACTCCTTGTCACGTACGACCGGGGAATCGAAACCACGCCAGTTGACTCAATGACAGACCTTATGATACAATGCGCATGCGCTAACCATTCGCCCCCCCCCCGCACTTTCTTGGTTTTATTGTCATATATTTACAAACACCAATACAAATAGTGCTATCAAATCGAACAAATATACTTTAACGAAAATCTATAAGAGGGGGTTGCATTTAAAGATTTTTGTATTTAGCATGTGGGAGGTATGGCCCCGCCAACTTTTACTCTTAAAAAACTAAACAACGGTTAAAACTGGAACCACATTTAATATAATAAATTCTTTGTTAAATGTTGGGGACTTTAAACAATGTCATGTTCCTAGACATAATATCAAAATTAAAAGAGAGATAATAATCAACACTACATGAAAATATTGTGTACCTGAAATTAAATCAACACTGTCAACATGGTAAACATGAAAATATTGTGTACTTGAAATTAAATCAACAATGTTAACATGAAAATATTGTGCACTGTAAACATGAAAATATTGTGCACTGTAAACATGAAAATATTGTGCACTTGAAATTAAATCAACAATGTTAACATGAAAATATTGTGTACTTGAAATTAAATGTAAACATGAAAATATTGTGCACTTGAAATTAAATCAAAAATGTAAACATGAAAATATTGTGTACTTGAAATTAAATCAACTCTGTAAACATAAAAATAGGCTTTGTACTTGAAAGTAAATTAACGCTATAACATGAAATTAATTTAACACCGTGAACATGGAAATATCGTGTACTTGAAATTAAATCTTAGTATTGAAAACGCATTATGTTAATTTATCTGAAAATGCATTGACAGAGATCGCAATAATTTATAACAATGAATTGTGCGAGAACACGCACGAATACAAAATTCTCGCATTAATTTGCGAATTTTCTTATCGGGCATTAATTTCATTGCGCACTAGGCCGATAAGATTAATAAGATTCGTATTCATTTGGTACATAAATGTTACGGAGATTAAACATACATTATGTAAGAGCTAAATCTGCTTATTTCCAGGTCTTTCTTTGGACCTGAAATGTTATCTAAACTATTAATTAGACATTTATTAACAAACCAAAACGATAATCAACTCTTGATGGCATCGGGTACTCTAGATTTTAACTAGATTAGAACGGTTCACCAATTAAAAATTTAATTTAAAAATGGGAAAGCGAGGCTAAGTCTCGAATATACCAGTGCCCAGGTTACCACTGTGCACGCATCTTGTCAAAACTACAAACAGTGATAACTTGGCTCAGAATAAAGTAATTTGAACGAAATTTTCAATATTTTCATCTTACAGTATCTATTTTTGAACTATTATAGCAAGAATGACCAACTCTTTATGATCAGCTGTTTATCTAAATCTTACATAATGTATCTATGAAGATGGATGGTGATAATTTCATGACGCTATATTTTCATGTCCTGCTTGAGTACCACTATAATCAGTGGTCTATCAAAATAACTAAGCGTTGTCGGGGGAGACAGGACAAAAATATATATTCAAATATATCCAAAACATAATATAATCAATATAGATTACAATTTCGTTTCGTTTTTAATTTTATGAATTTTAACATACTTTCATTCAACCCTGTGGGAGTTCTATTTATATCTCCCAATCGTGATGTTTATAACTGCTTAACCAATCACAAGAGTATCAACATTCTCCAAATTTAATACAAAATCAAAATTAAAACGAAACGAAATTGACATCTGATTTTAATCAGCATGGTGTATCGCATACATAAATATTTTCAGAGACCCATTGTCACTCACTTATAATATATAAGGTACCATTGTAGTCGATAAGTCGACAGATAAACAGCCATTATACTAGGTTTCCCACTATCACGATTCACGCTACGATTGAAATCGTGGTTTTAATCGCGGTGTATGCGTGGTGATCCTATCCTAATGGATTAGGCCATTAGATTGTTGCGTCCATAACAAGATGGATACCTCCTGTATGAAGATAATTTCCACGTGCCTATAAATATAATACATATTTCATAAACCCTAACGTGATAAAGAACATTTTCACAAAATACATTTTACTTCAGGTCAGCCCTAACTAATGGCGTAGGCAACTCCAATAAACAATAGAGTTATCGACCATTAATCTGTAGGCAACAATAGAGTTATCGCCCCTTAATATGTAGGCAAATCATATAAACAGTAGAGTTATCGTCCCTAAATCTGTAGTATTAGGGGGTGCTCGATTGCCAGTCCAGAACGTCCGAATTGATTGATTGATTGAGATATTTCCTTCCGATCACACATGCGTTCTAGTTCTAAATCCCACTTTTCACTCGATTGTTACTATTTGGGATATTCGGAGAATTCATTTCCGAAACTTTCAATCGAGTATCCCCTAGGTTTATTGGAATTTGGAAATTAATTACCGATCTATAGAACATTTTATCAGTATTGACATCGGATGTAGGCAACTCCAATAAACAATAGAGTTATCGCCCCTTAATAAGTAGCATTTAGTTGATTTGGATCATCCGAAAAATAATTACAAATCTGAAAATACACTTTATCAGAATTAATAAAGGACGTAGGGACCTCTAATAAACAATAGAGTTATCTTTCCTTAATCATCGGAAAATTAATTACCGATATAAAAATATACTTTATCATTTGATGGAGGTAATCTATGAATAATAATGGGCGTAGTCGTTAAAATAAAACTGGGTAAAGCGAAGTAATTCATTTTCTGGGTAAAGGGAAATAATCCATTTTCTTCTAGAAACTATAAATAAACCGAATCAATATTTCGGATTTATGTTTATACAAAAGTGTTCTTATTTGTTTTTGGTCCAGTATTTCACCATTTTAGTTTGCCTTATATTTTTTTTAGTTTCTCACAAACGTAAATAATACAAAATATCCTTCCCAAACAAATGTTATCTTTTAGTTTCTCACAAACGTAAATAATACAAAATATCCTTCCCAAACAAATGTTATCTTTCTGTGAATTGTTGTTCTTTTACTGCAACAAGATCGTCACTTGTGACATCTGAAAATTGAAAAATAATATTTATTTCATGTGAATTAGACGAAAGCCTTAAAGGTAAATAAAATTATTGATCGTGTTTTTTGGGGGATTCTGATATTAGACCGTGTTTTATGTAACTGGCAGTTAGATCGTTTGGGGTTTTGAGATTTTGTGATTCGTGCGCGAGACAGTGTTTTGACATTTTGACATTGGGCTGTGTTTTGGGGCTCTGACATTAGACTATGGATTTCTGGCGTTGGACAATGTTAATGGTTTCTAACATTAGATCGTGTTATGGGTTTCTGGCGTTAGGCAGTGTTTTTTTTAGACCTAGTTTTGAGGTCTTGACATAAGACACTATAATTTAATTATTTGGCAATTAAGGCACGGGCTGACTCTTTGGTCTAACGAATAATAAGTATTGCCGGGTTTGGGAGTAGAGAGAGGGAGCGAAAATGGGGTTTAATGTTCACTCGACACAATCTAGGCCATTTCAGGACTAATATATGGTTCAATTTTATTTCAATAATTCGCTTGCGCGTAGGGGTATTTAGCAGTTGGAGGAAACCTGGGGATCCGGAGAAAACCCACGAGGTTGGACAGGCGATCCTACTTCTTGTCACGCTCTTGTCGAAACCCGCCACTTGATGAATCAGTGACAACCCGTACGATTCACTGCCACGCGTTAAACTATTCGGCCAACCACACTGTTCGGAGGTTTAGTCGCCTGCCTAAATTCTTGGCTTTCAAAATATAAATATTTATAAGCTTACCTCTGATCATTTTGTTTATCCCATTGCCATAAAAACACATTGGCCATTCATACAAACCTATAAAATTGAAAGAATTTAAACACGTGTCTTCCCAAAGTGTTACCTTCTTACATTCGGCAAAGCTCGGCAGACTCTAGTACTCTACATCCACACTGATCAGCAGTGAATATTCGCTAGGCCTCTACAATCACTGATAAGGATGACATCGACGCGACTTAATGAGCCAAAATATTAACTTTTTTCCTCCAACAAATTAAATTCTAAAACATTTTTTTTTATGTATTAGAAAAATTAATAAAGACGTGTGAAGTATTTGTAGGTAAAAATCATTTCCTATTTAGTGTAAATGGGTATTAAAATAAGTAAAATTCACCATTTAGCCCGAATCAGTAACGTCTTATGTAAACAATGCACGCGCCATTGAGCCAATGATTGACGTCCCGTGATGTGACGTCGCGTGTTGAAGGCAGTCATCTTTTACAGAGATAGAAGACTTTCGTAATCCTCTGTGAAACAGATTGCCCTACAGCAGGCCACGGCTGTATGAAGAATTCCGCTATTTGAACTACTTTCAGGTTCCTGGATTACAAATGGCATCACCCATGAAGACGCCTGTGAAGAGGGGTTTATCATTTAAACCTTTAATGTCTGAAGCTGTTCTTTAAACAAAGGACAACTTTGCGATGAAAATTATACACCCTCTTCCCACGACGCAATATTGATAACTTCTGTCCCACAGCGGCAAGGAAACCGATAGCCGCAACGCAATTGTATAGATGTACATGTGTATATATCACTTACCGTCATACAGCCGCGGCTAGACGTAGAGTACCGGTATCTGTCGAGGTTTGCCGAGTGACCTTCTTTTGGGAGCCAAGTTGGCTCTGTGAGTTAGAGGTGTTGGTCGAGAAAGTTCATCGAAATTGTCGGGCGTGGTCCCCCCTTGTCAGTGGTGGAATTGTCAAGGGACAATATATAGTCGTTCAAGCGAAAAACCGAGGTCCCGTGTACACATTGGTTTGCATGTAAAAGAACGCTTGACAGATGGAATTAAAAATAAGAGCAGTTCGTAGCACCGCTGTCCGGGCCAAATTTCCGTCATAATACACTATATGACGTAACTGAAGAGCCCCGGGAAAGAACGATCTAAGTCACTTTTTCAACGAACCCCAGTTAATGGCGCCATCTGGTAGCAAATTGTATAATTTTTCTGCGGAACAATCAATTTCAGGTAAAAACGATCGGAGTCACATCGAAACAAGGCCCTTCTGAAATGGCCACCCGGACAAATACGTCCAGCGTACCCTTTATTTGACCTTAATTTGGCTGAAAAGTGGAAGTCAGTTGTTGTACTGTCTGGTAATTATGATTCGTATTAAACATCATTTTGAAGATGTAATTATGCCTTTTATGCGAAAAGACAAAAATGTGACTTAGATCGTTCTTCCCCTGGACTCTTCAACTGTCTTCATTAGCCGAGTCGGCGCAAGACAGTAGGACGTTAAACCCCATTTTATTTCATATTTATTTTACGACATTTGGGACACGCTGATATGTTATTTGTCATGGGTTGCCTCGTGTGATTTGATGACAAATGATGCTTCAAGCGTAACACATTTCATCTGACGATTTCCTCCAGTAATAATTTCACATGGTAAAATCTAACCGAGGACAATATTGTAGCAGATTTTGGTGCAATATTTCGGCAATCTATGTCTATTTCTATGTGTAAATACAGTCAGGTCTAGCGTGGTTCTATCTGCAGACCCAGCCAAACATAGTTAAATCCAATCAACCAACAAAATCAAACAGAGCAGAGTTGGACCATATCTGTCAAACAAAGCTGGGTTTAATCTGCCTAAGCAGCCAAACAGAGTTAGGTGAAATCTTACAGAGGTGGATCCAATCTGGTGACAAAGACCATCAGAGTAAGATCCAATCTGCTGACAAAGCCAATCAGAGTTAGATACAATCCGTCGAGTTAAGTCCAATAGGCCGACACCGGCAAACAGAGTTAATCCAATCTGCCGACAAAGTCCACCAGAGTTAGACACCGGGAAACAGGGTGTGCATGATGAAGGGAATGATGAAAATGCCGTATCAGATATGTCCAGCATCACAGTTTACTCTTGTCCGCAGGTTTGTCTTGTAGATTTTTGTTTTGCGTGTAGTGCGTGTAGTGCGTGTAGTGCTTGATCCCAACCCACCAAACTCCCCCTACATTATAAACACTACACCAATCGGCTTGATCGATCTCCTGCTAGACCCACCCAAGCGCTCCCTACATTATAAACACTACCCCAACGCACCCAAGCGCTCCCTACATTATAAACACTACCCCAACCCACCCAAGTTCTCCCTACATTATAATCCAAGGTGACTTACTTTATTCGTTCCACATGATGTACCATCAACTGCAGGCTCTCGTCGTCTAAATCTATAATATGGAGTTTCACAACACAGCCTCTCACATTGGTCTATTAATCCCTGCAACACACAAGACAGTTTATTAAGACCGTGGAATGGGATTTAACGTCCTACTTTTCTACACCGACTGGGCTAAGGAAGACGGTCATACGTCATACAGTGTGCTATGGAGGAAATTTTGCCCGCACAGAGGAGCTATAAAGCCTACTCTTATATCGAATTCCAACTGCTATGGGTTCTTTTACGTGCATGCCAATGTCTACACGGGGCCTCGGGTTTTCGTCCCATCCCAACGACTAGAAAGCTGTACTTGCTTAGCCCTCCTTCACGCACCACTGGCAAGGGGAAACCACATCAGAAAATACCGATGAACGTTCTAGGTCAATGCAGGGATCGAACATGCGACGTCCGGGATAGCGAGCCAGCGCCTTACTCACTTAGCCACCGTGGCTCCAGTACCCCGAATCGACAAACAAACAAACCAAATGACAGTCACAAATATATCTTTTTCAGTAAATCGTCTTGTGCTGTTGAGAGAGAGAAATAGGGTTTAACGTCCACTCGACATAAACTAGGTCATTTCGGGACTAACATGTTTTTTAAAAATTTAATTTCAATTATTCGTTTGCGCGTAGGTGTCTCTGGCAGTGGAAGAAAACTGGGTGTGCTGTTGAGGAAAGAGATTTAACAAACTAGCTCAGACTGAAATTGATATTTAATACTTGTGGATAGCTTCCTGTTTATTTATAAACATCCTCAAGTAGACTGCCTCTAGATTTGCAGATATCAAATAAACGGGGTTTAACGTCTGCGTGTTCATCATAACTAAACGACTATACCTAGTCCCGTGTAAGGATCCCCGTCCTGAATCACTGACCAGGGAGAACCCAGTCTGATTCAAATGCAGTTCTATATTTCGTTTCGTTTTTTCTATATTTTCGATGGCCTACATTACATGAAGATTTGACCAGTTGTAGTGGGAGGTCACGTCAGGGGACGCACGAGCGGCTTTTGGCCCTATGACGTCAGACATTTGATTAACCAATCAGCGTTGATGTTTATAGTGGGTTACCCACAGTACCGTGCACCTCACGCCAAAAATCGCCGTAACAGACCGTTTCATTGGGTAATCCCTCACATCATCCAGAACACGGATTATATAACAAATAGTATAGTAAAGACAAGTAAACGAAATTTTGAACTACAAAAAAAAAAAAGAAATAGGATCTGTGTTTTAATCAGATTGGGGGGGGGGGGGGGACAGAGACCACGCCATATAAAACCATTGCTAACGATTGCACGGTTTACCAAAGAAATTATAAAACCAACTAACCATACATGGTGTTCCACCACTAGTATAATGAAAACATTGAGCGGCTAGATCCATGTATTGTCCGGGTAATATATCTGGGTAATTGTAGCCAGAACCAGTCGTATCTTGTAAACACCGTGAATACCAGGTACTGTAGAAAATAAATACAACGTATAATACACATTTGGAGAGAGAGAGAGAGAGAGAGAGTAGGTCATTACGGGAATAACATATGGTTCGATTGCACATAGTGGTCTTTAGCAGTTGGAGGAAACCGGGGGACTCGTTGGTTAGACGATCCTACTCCTCGAAATCGAAACTTTGCCACATGACTCAATGTCAGACATTAGTAAATCTGGCGCTGTCACTGGTGGGAGCACGGTGTATCGTTCAAGTGGATATTCTTCCCTTCTCCGCAATTCACCCATAGGTTTCTCAAGAAAAGGGAGAATGTCCTGGTCCTAAGACCAATAGGTGGAGGGGGGGGGGCTAAATTCACGAAAATCTAAACGCAAATTTATTGGCACAGAGGTAGGATTTTGATTATCAACCAATGAAACGACATCATCCCTAAATCAATCTGATTACAACACAGATCCTATTTCGTTTCGTTTTTATAGTTCTAAATTTCGTTTTACTTGTCTTTACTACACTAAGATCTAGAAGAGTTGTTATCATTGACGTGTTCTGATTAGTGTGAGGTATTAGCCAATGAAACAATCTGTTACGGCGGACTCTGGGCGTGTTTTGCACGGAACTGTGGGTATTCCACTAGTAACATCAACGCTGATCGGTTAATCAAATGTCTAACGTCATAGGGTTAAAAGCCGCTAGTATGACCTCTGACGTGACCTATCGCAACAACCGGTCAGATCTTCATGTAATGTAGGCCATCGAAAGTATAATAAAAACGAAACGAAATATAGATCTGTATTGTAATCAGATTGTCCTTAAATCATTTTAGTTTAAGTGTTCGTGAATTAGGCCCTTGACTACTAGCATAAATGAATGAAATTAGGCAAAGACGCGTCTCCTTGGGGGGGGGGGGGGCTTGTGTGGTAAAGAAATAAATATGTATCAGCTTACTTGGTTACGAAATTACTGATGCTGTTCTTTGAACACTCGGAGAACCTTGTGAACATGGTGGCGTTGTTTCTGGTGTAACTCATAATAAAGCCTGAATCTTTGGGGCAATTAAGGGCATCGCCCTCACCGTCATGATAAGCCCCAATTCTACAAAATGAAAGGAAAAGTGGTTTGGCGTCTTACATTTCTGCATCAACCGTGATAATAATGGCTGACATGCCATGCGGGGATGTTGTTTCTGACAGCGGCAGTTTGGGCTATTCGTTTTGCGGTTTACAACGGCCAGGGGATCTTTAGAGTGGTGTTCGTTCGTTTGTTTCTGTAGTTTTACATCCACTTCCACCATCGCGGTGTCAGTGATAGGGTTATAAACAAAGAGTTGAAAGTACTGGATAATCCTATGCAGCAAGTCTCGAACAACATCGGAAATGATCCCGGGACCATTTGGTTAGTGATCATGAGTAGGCACCACACTCACTCTCATTTCATCAAACAACTTGCTTTAGAAACGTTGTTTTTCATGAATCTAAAGTTGGAAAATGAGGGGTGAGGGGGCGAAGGGGCAGGTCGGGCGGTGGGGGCAGCTATCTTCTAGACATTGCATTATGCATTTCAAGCTCAAGAAACCGGATGTTGTAACAACCTGGGAATAGAAACCACGCCAGTTGACTGAATGATGCAGCGCGCACGCGCTAACCTTTCGGCCATCCAACCCGTCTTTTTCAAACAAAAGAATCGAATGGTGTCATGGAAGGTTGTCGTAAGTACTACTTACAGATGTCCAAGTTCATGTGCGCCGACTATAACTCCTCTAAAACTCTTGCCCATTTCACTAACAGCCACGTCATAAGTGGATGATAGATATTCCCTAGATGATATACAAGCTCCTTTAACATATCCAATACCTGTAATATATACAACAATACACAATAATTTATACAACAAGCCCCTTTAACATATCCAATACATGTAATAAATATAGTATATACAATATACAACAAGCTCCTGTAAGATATCTAATACATGCAATATACAATATCAACAATATACAATAATTTATACAACAAGCTCCTTTAACATAATAAATATAATATATATAGAATATACAACAAGCTCCTGTAACATATTCAATACCTGCAATATATATATATATACAATATACAACAATTTATACAACAGGCACCTGTAACATATCCAATACCTACAATAAAAATAATATATACAATACATTATAACATACATTATAATGTATCTTTTAAAAATCTCTTAAGACTGAACTCTTTAAATCTGTGGACTATTAATGATAATAACTATATAGTACATATAATATACAATATACAACGATATATGCAATATACAATAATATACAAAGATATATGCAATATATATATACATTATATACAAAAATATATATACATTATATAATTTATACAATGTACATAATTTATACAATATATATACAACAAGCTCTTGTAACCTATCCAATACACTGGTATATACAATATATCGAATATACACAATAAACTCTAATGAACGGACGTCTACGGTGGTTATATCACCTGGGTTATATCAGGTGTTAAATCATAGTTACCTGCGGTTAATCTAAAACAATCATTGGTCCCATTCATGCGACATAAATCCTCCCTGAAAATAAACAACAATAATACATGTACAAAACCACCAGGGATGTTTTGTTCTAATTTATCTGTGCCTTCTAAATACTGGGGGGGGATGGACGAATGGTTAGCACGTGTGCGCTGTATCATGAGGCCTGTCATTGAGTCATCCCCGGTTGTACGTGACAAGGAGTGGGGTCGCTTGTCCAACCCCGTGGGTTTTCTCCGGGTCCTCCGGTTTCCTCCCACTGCTAAAGACCCCTACGCGCAAGCGAATCATTGAAATAAAATTAAACCATATGTTAGTCCCGAAATGACCTAGTTTGTGTCGAATGGACGTTAAACCCCATTTCTCTCTCCCGCAAAACCAATCTGTTTCACAGAGTATTAAGAAAGTCTTCTTATATCTCTGTAAAAGATGACTGCCTTCAACACATGACGTCATATCACGCGGCGTCAATAATTGGTTCAATGGCGCGTGCATTGTTTACATAAGACGTTACTGATTCGAGCAGCCGTCTTCATTCGAGCAGAATGGCGCCTTTTACTCATTTTAATACCCATTTACACTAAAATAGGAAATAATTTTTACCTACAAATACTTCAAACGTCTTTATTTATTTTTCTAATACATACAAAAATGTTTTAGAATTTAATTTGTCGAAGGAAAAAAGTTAATAATATGATGGAAATTTGCCCGGGCAGCGGCACTATGACTTACTCTTATAACGAATTCCAATTGCCAAGGGGTCTTTTACGTGCACGCCAATGTATACACGGGGCCTCGGTTCCAATTAGAACGGCGAGACAAATGTCCTTGTCAGGCCCTCCGTCTTGCATCACTGACAAGGAGAACCACGTCGGAAAATACAGCTGAACTTTCTCAGCCAATGCCAGGGATCGAACACTCGACCTCTAGGCTAGCGAGCCAGCGTCTTACTCAAAACAGATGTATATAAGAGGGGGAATAATCATAATTAAAACCAGCGGCTGCCATTGCAAGAGATGGATAGAGAACAAACTAAAAACAAAAACGGTTTTCTTGTACAATCAGGGGCAATAATCCAGAAAGTTATGGTCTGAAATGCGCAAATATCAAAAGGGACTGAGATCTTTGGGATATAAAGATATGTTTAAGTTTCATCAGAATCGGATAAAAATTGTGACCTCTCGAGGGTCCACAACCTTCGTATTGCATACTTTTACACAATTTGCGTAGAAAGAGCGACCATTTTGTCGGGCAGTTTCATTTTGATATGCCCGAAATTCGAATTCAATCTTCATTATGGTGGAATGGTGAAATATTTAAACAGTTTTTAAAATCGGAAAAACAAGAGAATCCGGAAGCTAAAAATGCGATTTTTCGAACAATCAGAAGCCATAATTCCGGACGTTACGGTCCGATATGGGCGAATATTGATATGAACCGAGATCTTTGGGTTATAAACTTACATTTCAAGTTTCATCAAAATCAGAAGAAAATTGTGACCTCTAGAGGGTCCACAACATTGATGTGCCATATTTTTTACGATATTTGAGTACGAGGGGCGGCCATTTTGTCTGTCAGTTTTGGTTCGAATTCTACGAAGCTCGAACTCAACCATCCTTAGGGTGTAACGGTGATACATTCAAACGGTTTTTTAAATCGCATAAAAATTATGACCGCTATAGGGTCCACAAGCTAAAAACGCGATTTTTCGTACAATCAGGGCGATAATTCAGGAAGTTACTATCCGATATGCGTGAATATCAAAAAGAACCAAGATCTTTGGGTTATAAACTTGCATTTCAATTTTCATCAAAATCAGAAGAAAATTGCGACCTGGACAGGGTACATAGTTTTACGCTATTTGAGTACAAGAGGCGGCCATTTTGTCTGTCTGTTTTGGTCCGACTTTTACGAAATTCGAACTCACCCATTTTTAGGGTGTAACGGTGATATACTAAAACGTTTTTTTTAAAATCGTATAAAAATTTGACCACTATAGGGTACACAAACTAAAAACGTGATTTTTCGTACAATCAGGGGCCATAGTCCATGAAGTTTCGGTCCGATACATGCCAATATCGAAAGCAATCGAGATCTTTTGGAGATAAACCTATATTTCAAGTTTCGTCAAAATCGGATAAGAATTGTGACCTGTAGAGTGTCCACAAACAATTGTGGACGGACGGACGGACGTCCGGACGGACAGGGGCGACGACAATATACGTCCACATGAAAATGTGGGCGTATAAAAAACAATACAAAACAAATTCGAAATCATTCCGCTCACCCAGTCATAAGTATGGCAACATCATGCGTTGAAAAATGAACGTTAGACTCAAACTTCATCATCCATTTTCTGAATCCATCAAGCACTGCTTTCAGAGATATCAGAGTTGCATCCGAGGGTATTCGATTCTCCTCTATAAAAGTCTGGAACTGCGCTGACTAAATAAAAAGAAATATAGAAATTTATATCGTATATCCTGGTCATACTAATATAAACGTGTATTAAAATATAAGTTAATATACTTATATACATATAGAACCGATCGCTGGTGTACGGTGTTCCGCAGGGCTCAGTATTTGGACCATTGCTGGGGTTTTTTCTACAGTAAACACGTGGCTGTCGCTTTTAGTTGCTTTGGTGCTTCCTAGGTTGTAAGAATGTATAATAATACGATTCTAACTTCTACTACTGGTTTATCCAGTTATTTATTACATATTGTGTGAATATTCACCAGTAAACTGGTTTAACCCCTTTATGTATTATATACTGTGTGAATATTGACCAGTAGACTAGAACATTTTAAACTTACCTGCACTGCTCCATATTGTTTCACTTTTACTGCAACATTTGGATTTTTCATTGTTCTAAATTTATAGTTCACCTAAAAAAGTGAAAATAATGAATTTAGGGACATTTAGTAACTGGATAGAGTAATAAAACTATACCACATGGGAACAGGTACTAACATAGCTGGATGGCGTTTCGAAGATAGTTTCTTTCAACGTGTTCAAGCTGATATAAAACAACTACGATTTAAAACAATATTCATAAACAGTTTTTCCGCTGGTCTAATTTAGAAGCAGTAAAGAATTTGTCAGCGGCCCTGTGACCTACTCTTCTTTAAGTCAATGGTTCTTTTACGTGCACAAGAAGTTGTTCCTTGCCAGACCCCCGTCCTTCACCACTTTCGTGGATAAGACCGAGCACTGACCCGCTAGAGGTTGAAGGGGTCCTGCGGTCACCGAGAAATCTTTTGAAATTTCGACCTGAAATGGTGGTCTGTGGAGTATATCCCGGGCGGGAAGTCATATACTTAGTTCTAATAGTAAGTGCAGGAGGAAGTAATTAGTGTCGATTTAGATTAAAATACAGATCTATATTTCGTTTCGTTTTTTTTATATACTTTTGATAGTCTCTACTGCATGAAGATCTGACCAGTTGTAGTGGGAGTTTGCGTCAGGTGGTCATACGAGTGGCTTTTGATCCTATGACGTCAGACATTTGATTAACCAATCAGCGTCGATGTTTCTAGTGGGATACCCACAATTCCTTGCACGCGCCTCACGCCAAAACTTTTCGTAACAACCCGTTTCATTGGCTAGCAGGATACCAACAGTTCCGTGCATCGCACGTCAAGAACTCGCTGCAACAGATCGTTTCATTGGTTAATCCCTCACGCAAACCTAGTTGTCTAAAGTCAAGTAAAACGAAAAATTTTACAATAAAAAACGAAACGAAATAGGATTGATTATTCCTGGGGTTTTACATTATCATTAGTATTTTTTTTTTCATCTTACCGCTTGCCAGAAATGTAGAAGATATGTTCCAATCTTTGCTATATCTTTCTTAAACCATTCAAATACTTTAAAATCAACCAATAAGAACACTTCTATTATAAACGGAGCCACGCCATTGATCTGACGTTTCTTTCTGTGGGGAGGATTTAATTGATACGGATTTTTAAAATATTCAGGAACTGAAATTATAGTATGGAAAAAAAATATTTGAAGAAGGCGAATCATTTTTGTTTTGTTTTAGATCCGTTGTTACTGTACATTAAAAGTATCAATGGTTCGTGGTAAATGGTAAGGCCAGCTTAATTTTTCGTCATAAGTCACGAAACAGGGCTAGTGCTAATTCCAATCCTAACCCTAACCCTGGGCCAAGCCCGAGTGCTTACCCTAACCCTAACCTACAATCTCGCCAACAATCACGTGCTCTAACCTTATTAACCTTTCAGCGACCTTCAAAAAAAATGAGCTGGCCTTAACAAATAGATTTATCCCCTAGAAGAGTAAGATATTTTATCCTGTTCTTCTTCCAATTAACCAACAACCCGATAGTTAGTGAGGCAACGCGGGACATTTTCAACTAGAAGAGGGTTAGTGCTAAATGATAAGGCCAGCTCAATTTTTCGCCATTGGTCACGAGATGTAAACAGGGCTAGTGCCAATCCCAACCTTAAACCTGGGCCAAGCCCAAGTGCTTACCCTAACCCTAACCTACAATCTCGCCAACAATCACGTGCTCTAACCTTATTTACCTTTCAGCGACCTTGAGAAAAATTTTGTACGTGACAAGGAGTAGGATTGCCTGTCCAATCTCATAAGTTTTCTCAGGGTCCTCCGGTTTCCTCCCAATGCTAAAGACCCCTACGCGCAAGCTAATTCTTGAAATAAAATTAACCCACATGTTAGTTCCGAAGTGGCCTAGTTTGTGTCGAGTGGACGTTAAACCCCATTTCTCTCTCTCTCTCTCTCTCTCTCTCTTGAGAAAAATTGAGCTGGCCTTAACAAATAGATTTAGCCAAATATCAATACGATGGGTAAACAAGAAGTTCACGAAATGAAATAAAATTTAAAGATACATTATGTAAGATTTAGATTTAGAGCTGGTCGTTCTTGCTATAATAGCCAAAAAGTACATAGATAAAGCAAAATGAATATATTGAAAATTTCATTCAAATTACTTTATTCTGAGTCAAGATGTATGCATTGGTTGTTTATTATCGTAACCACGGTACTGGTATATTCGAGTCTTAACAATCTTTGAGTGGTATTTAGCGATTAAACTATATAACACAACAAAGTTCTATGGATAACAATTACAAAAAAAATTTTTTTTGTAATTTATATGTTTGATAACGACCAGTGAATATCTTTCGGAAACATCGTGTGTATATAATGTAGTAATTGTTATCCATAGAACTGTATTGTATTATATTATGTTTAAACGTCGTGTGTATATAGTGAGTGTAATCCATAGAACTGTATTGTGTTATATTATGTTTAAACGTCGTGTGTATATAGTAATTGTTATCCATAGAACTATATTGTGTTATATTATGTTTAAACGTCGTGTGTATATAGTAATTGTTATCCATAGAACTATATTGTGTTATATTATGTTTAAACGTCGTGTGTATATAGTAATTGTTATCCATAGAACTGTATTGTGTTATATTATGTTTAAACGTTGTGTGTATATAGTGATTGTTATCCATATAACTGTATTGTGTTATATAAATAAACAACATCTAAATAATTATTTTGAATCGAACAAACTTTGGTAAAATATATATACTTACCTTCTAAATAATCTGTAAATTCAGAAACTTTACCCGGTGTAGAACGCTTCAAAACGTTGTGATTACGGCGTGGGTGCGATTTCTTAAACATCCGTTCATCTTTAAATTTGTCCGGAACTTTATAAAAATAGAATTTGATTATTTGCTGAAGGAAATAATATTTCTTGTAAAAGGGTGGGGGCGGTTGTGTGACCAACCTCGTGGGTTTCCTTCCTCCCACAGCTAAAGACTCCTACGCGCAGATTTAATCCCGAAATGACCTAGTTTGTGTCGAGTGGTCGTTAAACCCCATCGCTCTCTCTCTCTCTCTCTCTTTCTCTCTCTTTCTCTCTCCCTCTCTCTCTTATTTCTAGTATCATCATCGATAATCGGGAGAATGCACACACAATGACGACTGATGGAATTTGATTTTAATTTTAAAAGCGTTCAACTGGAATAGATTAGCAGCTTGATGAAGCGTGTGATTTGGAAGCTATGTGGCCATCCTCAGTGGCAAATGTCTCTTACAATTTTGCCCTGACAGAGCAGGAGAAGAACTGAAATAGGGTGAAATGGGGTTTTACGTCTTACTTGTCTGTGCTAATGAAGACGGGCATCCACTGCACAGTCTTTGAGTGACGGAGGAGTATAAACGTGATGCCAATGGTATACACGGATTAGCGGTTTTTTTTCCACTCGAAGGACTAGACACTTCTCCTTGTCATCCTCCAATCAAGTAACAAGGGCAAACCGGGCAATCATAAACTACCTACCTTCCAAATAATCAGTGAACTTATCACCGTCTTCCTCTGACCATACTGTATGACGCGTAGAATGAAGATCACGACGATGTCTTTCCTGGGAACCCGGTGGAGCGATGATGAGGCCATGTCCTAGGAATCCTTCCTTAAAGATACAGTATGGAAGATTAAATAAAGAGCTGCCAGTTCTCCTTATAATAGTTAAAAACTAGATAATGTAAAGGAAATATGATAAAACTTTCAGTCAAATTGTTCCACTCTGAACCGAGATATTAGCGTTTGAATTTTAGGTCTAGCTTCGATCATCATTACTAAAGTCGGTACGATAAAAAATATAGTTTCGATTACATATTTTGGGGTTAAATCATCAATGAACGTTGAGCAGCAAAGCGGATCAAATCCAGTAAAAATTCGACACATAAGATGGCATCGAGAGTTGAATAAGGTCTAATTAATAGTTTATATAACATTCCAGGCCTAAAGAAAGACCCGCAATAGGTAGATTTAGCTCTTGAACAATGTAAGTTAAAAACAAAACATATTACAATTCTATGCACAAAAGTTGTAAGCTTTCCAAGTAAATGAAAGGTGGTATGGGGTGTTCCAGAAATATTCATACTGTGTGTTATACTGGTACATAATGAAAAATATAATTTTCACCTTCGTGATCAACCAAAAGCTAAGGCTATGGCAAATACGCCACTGGGAGAAATGAAATGAAATGAAATGGGGGTTTAACGTCCTACTATTCTGCTCCGAACTGGGCTAATGAAGACGGGCATATGTCATACAGTGTCCTATAAGGGAAATATTGCCCGGGCAGCGACACTATCTATGGCCTACTCTTATGCCAATTGACAAGGGATCTTTTACGTGCACGCCAATGTGTACACGGACCTGCCACTGGGGGAATCAAGGGTGATAAGTATTGAAAAGATTATCTAAATTTGTTCCAATCGACTAAGGCATGTTCTACACAACAGACACTGGTCCCACACAACAACAGACACTGGTCCCACACAACAACACGTAAATATTGGGTTAGTGGTCCCCACGAGATCATGTATTGTTTCGCTTGTAAAATTAGCGGTGATCACGCCCCTTGAATCATCTGTCACCATTATGTATAGTTTAATGGTCGAGTGCGAGACATTAAGTAATATATTGATATTGCAAGAGTACGTTAGAACGAGGGCAATATCTGTATATTGCACAATGTCTTGCACGAGACCATTAAACAATTTGAAATACAGACACTATCCAGCACGTACCTTTCAATGAAATACGTCACGCGGGTCCAATATTTCAACTAGTATAAATAATGTACGTGTATCATTAATTGAAATAATGGTACGCCAACATTAAAGAGACAATAATACTATTGCTGGCTTAAATGCTCCAGAAAATAAATAATATATCTTTCTAAGTACTAGATGTTTAAGTGTCCTACCTGTTGTGTAAATTATCCATTACATCCTATTTTACTTGTCCAGAGGGTTAGAAAATATTTTTAAATCGAAGTTTCATTTGAAAAGGTTTTCGTTAGACGTTTCAAACCATTATGTTGAATTTTAAATAAGGTGTGTTAAGATGAAATTTGTATCATCAATTAATTGAAATATTCTAAAATAGTACAATTTGTTGACCAGAATAAAGATTGGAACATATTATTCAGTTACAACAAGAGTGGTTTTGAGCCTTTAAAGGATGATGTCGCATCTGTATTTTAAGCTTCATTAACGTGGTCGATTACAATATTATCTACGAAACGAATATCTTGGTTCGATTGATAACTCTTTTCGAGCGCTCACCTCCAATTTATAATTGCGGCGAGTTTATGATAAACGAGACTAATTCACACCTTTTCAAACTCTGCCAAGAGCTAATTACAATGCAGCAATAACCTAATAAGTAGTACGGCAAGATGTCACTGTGCACTTGTCTGGGTTATAGATATGTTTATTCAGAGAGACAGAGAGAGAGAGAGAGAGAGAGAGAGAGAGAGAGGGAAAGGGTCACGCCCACTCGACACAAACTAGGTCATTTCGGGGTTAACATATGGTCCAGTTTTATTTCAATAATTCACTTGCGCGTAGGGGTCTTTAGCAGTGGGGGGTTGCTGACTGAAGAGACATAAAACATAAAATAGAATCATAAAAAATCGATTAAGCTTTCTCTCGGTTCAATACGCAAATCGTGAGAAGGTGAATCGAGATAGTAGGTAAATATAGGTGTAACCTGTCTAGTCACTGATTATTAATCAAGGTGTTACCTAGATTTACCTAATTAGGTAAAACAGGTAATTAATTAATCAGAAATACATTATATACAAAGGTAATTCAATCTTAGCCCTCAAAATATTGTTGATATTCAGAAGGTTAACACAGGCATTTTAATTAATTATTTAATTCATAGGGAATGTACATCATGTAGAAAAATAATCCAATTTTATCCCAATGACGCAATGTCCAGCATTGATGTCACGCTTTATATTCGTCACGTAAAAGGAGATATATTATATCGTTATTACAAGACTTTGGATCGGATCGGACAATACGAATTTTGGTAAGCGGCCCAATCTGATTAAAACACAGATCCTATTTCGTGTCGTTTTTTTATAGTTCAAAATTTCGTTTTACTTGTCTTTACTACACAAGGCTCTGGAAGAGTTTTTATCATTGACGTGTTCTGAATGGTGTGAGGGCTTAGCCAATGAAACCGCCTGTTACGGCGAGCTTTAGGCGTGTTTTACACGGAACTGTGGGTAATCCACTAGTAACATCAATGCTGATTGGTTAATCAAATGTCTGACGTCATAGGGTCAAAAGCCGCTCGTATGATCTTTGAAGCTACCTATCGCTACAACCGGTCATATCTTCATGTAGTGTAGGCCATCGAAAGTATAAAAAAACGAAACGAAATATAGATCTGTATTGTAATCAGATTGATAAGCGGACCTAACCTTGTCCAAATCATCATACTATTAGCGATTAGTATGATTATAACTAATCCTAGAGGGAGACTTATCGGACAATTGCTGGCAGGTTGAATAACCGAATGGTTAACGCGTGCGGGTTGTATCATAAGGTATGTCATTGAGTCTAAGTGGTGTGGTCTCCATTCCCCGGTTGTATGTGACAAGGAGTAGTGTCGCCTGTCAAACCTCGTGGGGTTTTTTCCGGGTCCTCCGATTTCCTCCCACGGCTAAAGACCCCTACGCGTAAGCGAATTATTGAAATAAAACTAAACCATATCTTAGTCCCGAAATGACCTAGTTTGTGTCGAATGGACATTAACCCCCTTCTCTCTCTTTCTCTCTCTCTCTTTCTCTCTCTCTCTCTCACTAGCTCGGGCCACTGCATCAGTAATATGCAAAATCACAAACCTTAAGATCTAAAGACAGCACGAGATATGAATAAATAATATGAACATACCACGTGTATATCGCCATCCGGGCCGTGTATAATACTGAGTATAGTTCCGGTATCCAGGTTGTGAAAAAACTGTTTGTTATATTTTAGCACGTGTTCCTGTAAAACAAAATATTCTAATTAAAATATGTATTATTTGTTTTATTACAATAACAATGATACTGAAAAGGAAATCAAATAACTAAACTCGTAATTTGTGTAAAATCTAAAACAAAAGATGAAATGAAATGGGGTTTAACGTCCTACTTTTCTGCACCGACTGTGATAATAAAGATGGATAACGTCATACAGTGTGCTATAAGCGAAATTTTGCGGCACTACGGTCTGCTTTAATTTCAACTGTCAAGGGTTTTCTTACGTGCACGCCAATTTGTACACTGGACCTCGGTTTGTCGTCGCACCCGAACGTATATACGTTGTCCTTGCCAGGCCCATCGTCCTGCACAACTGACAAGAGGGGAACCACGCCGAATCCCGATGAATTTTCTCTGCCAACACCAGGTTCGAACACGGGACATCCAGGTTAGCAGGCCAACGTCTTACTCACTGAGTAACTGCGGCACCGAAAATTCTCCACTAGGTTCAATCTTGTTAATTTTGTTTAACAATGAAACTTCGAATCCTTTACAGAATTATAAATACATAAATGAGAAACTTCAACGTGTGCCGTAACTTAACAATAAATTGTTAAAACCAAAACGTAACGAAGTATAGCGCCGTCTATCCTAAAAGACAGTCCAATTCAAAGTTCATAAATACAAAAACTGTCTCGTTAATCAGGAGGTTTGGGTGCAGGATGGGGGGTCTGGAAAGGGGCAGGGGTTAGTCGTTCAGGTGGGATGAAAAACCGAGGTCTTGTGAACACGTTTTCACATGGAATTCGAAATAGGAGTGGTGAAACCAAACTGAAAAATCCAGAGAATTTCCTCTGCCAAGGCCGAGATCGATCCTTGGACCTCCTGTTTATGCTAGGTTCCGACTGTCGTGGGATGCGTTACGATAGGAGTCCACGATCTGGTACGTTCAGATACGTACGGATACGATCCATGTGCAGAGCCGTAACTAGCTCAGAGCAACGAGGGGGCGGGAAGTGTTCGCAGGGGTGCTGGTAATATTGATGGACAATGTATATCTATTGTCCATCAATAGTTACGGGCCTGTCCATGCGAGTGCTACGACTAACCCAATTATATGATATAACCTGATAGGATCGCCACGTATACACCACGATTAAAACTACGATACTATCAACACGATTGCGTCTACTAACCACAACATATAATAAGACTTGATGGATCACCACGATTAAAACCACGATTTCAATCATAGCCCGAATCGTGATAGTGGGAACCCAGCTTTAGCGAGCCATCACCTTGATGACTGGGCCAATTATTAATTCTATAAGCTAACAAACTAAGGACCCAGATGTCATTAACAACAAACGGTTGATCTTACTGGTAAATTTTCCACGTGGATTTCTGTTTTGCCGTCGGCGTTTCCTGATACGATAAAACCTTGAACATCATCATGCATTACTTCATCTTCAACCCTGGTTAACGGGATCTCATGCTTCTGGATAAGCGTGTCTACGAAGAGTCGAAGTTTGTCGTGTAGGATTAAATCACCTAGTACTTCTACAGACGCGGAATGTGCTTCTAGGTAAAACAAAAAGAAAAGAAAATGTTTTTTAAAAAAAGCACATCAAAATGGTGATAATAAAACTTAAAAAAGATATATTACATGTATTTAAATGTGCATCGACCTGTCAAAATCGTGATTCAATTAGTTAAAACAATATTTTTAAATGTGCATCGATCTGTCATTAATGAGCTATATTTGACACATGAAGGTCACACCTTTCGATGGAGAACTTATAATCCGCTTTCTCTAAAGGCATATTATATCCAGGTCCTCCCTTTCCTTGTTCTTAGAAATTACTAATTGCACCTCCGCTTCCTTGTTTTTCAACCACGAGTATAGGCATCACTACTTTTCTGTAGTTTACATGTTGCAATGTATTTCTGTTATCCGGGTACAAACATCAGGGAATAAGACCATATATCATAGAAATATAATTATATAATTGTAAAATGAAATAGCTCGTGGTTTACATTTTGAATACTATAATACGGAAGAGCTCGCGTCAATAGTCAAAACCCAGTAACTCACTTTTCTTTTATCAAAATTGAGTTAGGACCAAATTTGTAGTTACTAGGGTAGTATGCCACAGAAAAACCTAATAACTCAATAGTCAAATCAATGGATAAGCTGGAGTTTAATATTCATTCATTACATTTTCCTTTACTTTTTTAAAATAAGAAAAACGTGAGTTACTAGGTGTTGCCTTTTGACGGGAGATTTGTGGAAAACTCGTTTTAGTTAATGATTGATTCATTCTGAAAATTAGAGTGACAAAATTTTTTTTCGGGCAAATACCCCGGAATGTGGTTTAACGTCTTGCGAATACAATGTCTCAGTCATTTCAAGACTAATATCATAATATCTGTCTATGATCACAAAGGCTAAGAAGGAGAATTTCGCCCAGACAGCGGCGTTTCTGCCTACTCTTCATGCGTGTTTTACGCGCACGCCAAAGAGTACACGGGTGGGCCTCAGATTTTTGTACAATCCGAACAACTAGTCCCACAACCGTTACCCCTGAACCGGGATTGGTAAATCCTCTCTTCCCACGTCAAGATTCGAACCCGAAACATTGTTGTTGAGTGTCTAGTGCCTGTACCGCTCGACTACCCGCACCCCCCCCCCCCCTTCGCCCCGCCCCAAACCCCGAAAGAAATAAATTAATTGTTATGTGTTTTGTCTACATAAGAAACTGAAGATGATCATATAAAAGTACATGTACGTCATATCCAAAATGTAATGTACGTCATATCCAAAATGTAATGTACGTCATATCCAAAATGTACGTCATATCCAAAATGTAATGTACGTCATATCCAAAATGTACGTCATATCCAAAATGTGCGTCATATCCAAAATGCTTGAGAGAAAGAGAGAGAGAGAGAGGAGGGGGGGGGGGGTAAAGTTCAATCGACACAAACTAGGTCATTTCGGGACTAACATAAGGTTCAATTTTATTTCAATAATTCGCTTGCACGTAGGGGGTCTTTAGCAGTGGTAGGAAACCTGAGGACCCGGAGAAAACACACGAGGTTTGACAGGCGACCCTACTCCTTGTCACTTGTTACGTACAATAATCGGGAAATCGAAACCACGCCAATTGACTCAATGACAGACCTTATGATACAGCGCGCACGTACTAACCATTCGACCATACACCCCCACCCCAACTTCGGTGGAAGCTGACGTAAAATCACCTATTTAACAACAACATATCATAAATGCTTGACGTAATTCAAATAATTATTAAGTGAAATAAAAATCAGTCCATAGACCTCAGGGCTCTAATTACAGAAAAATTAAACAAGAAATGCGGGTCATAAAAATCGTTTAAAGGGCTTGAAGCAATCTGACCTATGATTTATTAGTTATGTTGGTATATGCGACAGTTATTAACCAAACATGGTGTAAACATGGACTATAACATTTATTTACATGTTACAATACTAAAAATATACATAAAAATACCTTAAATAGGTATCGGTATTTTCATTTAAATACACATCTAAATTTCCTTAAGTTTATACCGGAATCAATCAATCGATCAATCAGAATCTGTATAGCGGAAAAGCTAAATCTGCCTATTGCAGGTCTTTCTTTAGGCTTGGGGCTGTTTCACGAAATTTTAACTAAGATAAAATCCTAATTTTAGTAATTTGATTGGATAATATTAGACTGATTTGAAGTATCTACTAAAATTTGGATTTTATCTTTAGTTCAGATTTCGAGAAACAGGGCCCTGGAATGTTATCTAAATTATTAGTTAGACATTATTAACGTATCGACAAGGAGTAGGGTCGCCTGTCCAACCTCGTGGGTTTTCTCCGGGTCCTCCGGTTTCCTCCCACTGCTAAAGACCCCTACGCGCAAGCGAATTATTGAAATAAAATTAAACCATATGTTAGTCCCGAAATGACCTAGTTTGTGTTGAGTGGACGTTAAACCCTATTTCTCTCTCTCTCTCTATTAACTTATCCAGACTATTATCAACTCTCGATGCCATCGTTAGCCTGCAACATTTAGTTGATTTATAATGACGATCGAGGCTAGCCTGAAATTGAATCGCTAATATCTCGGTTCAGAGTGAAGCTTATGCTGTTTTCATTATCGCGAATACTGTCAGCTCTTCATCTAATCTTACCTCATGCCCCTTTTAACTTTTTTAAGTTTTGAAAAAGTCATTCAAAACCACAGATTACCTCGTGAAGGCTGTATTTATTAATTTTGAACCATTGATGACCTAACCCTAATCCCAACCCTCGTTCAATCATTCACCTAATCAGAAAATGAAATGAAATGGGGTTTAACGTCCTACTGTTCTGCTCTGACTGGGCTAATGAAGACGGGCATACACCATACAGTGTGCTATGAGAGAAATTTTGCCCGGACAGCGGCAATACAGCCTACTCTTACATTGAATTCCTACTGTCAATGGGTATTTCACGTGCACACCAATGTGTACACAGGACCTTGGATTTTCGTCACATCCGAACGACTTGACATCACTGACAATTGGGAACCACGCTGGAAAATCTGGATGAACTTTCTCGGCCAATGCAGGGATCGAACAACCGACCTCCAGGCTAGCGAGCCAGCGTCTTACCCACTCAGCCACCGTGATCCCTTCACCTAATCAGCAAAGAATGTGGGTAGCGGAAACAACACATTAGATAAATTTCATGCGCTTATAAGTTTGGAAGAAGTTATTCATAACCACAGTGCGTGTGAATAAAGATCACCTCGTAAATATTGTGTCTATAAATTATATTACGATTACCTTGCAATTAATTTTGAACCTAACCCCAACTCTAGCTCAATCAATCAACACAGAATGCGTGTAGCGAAAACAACACATTAGATAAAGTTCCTTAGGCGCATTTATTAATTCAATTTAAAAATGAATAATCGAGACATTGTTTGTTATCGTAAAAATTGTACTTGACAATCGAGAATTTTGTAAACACTCCAAAGAACACTTTTGACTATTATAGCAAGAACGACCAGCCCTTCTTTGGATGGCAGAATGGTTAACGCATGCGCGCTGTATCATAAGGTCTGTCATTGAATCAACTGGCGTGGTTTCGATTCCCCGGTTGTACGTGACAAGGAGTAGGGTCGCCTGTCCAACCGCGTGGCTTTTTTCCGGGTCCTTCCACTGTTAACCCCCGCCCATTCAGATTTACTACTCGATTTTATTACCAGCGTTGCTTCACCAGCTTATGGAGTGTTTGTGTCTCAACTAATTCGTTACGCGAGAGCTTGTTCATTTTATTCTGATTTTTTAAGTAGATCGAGGCATTTGTCATCTAAGCTTCAACTACAGGGATACTTGCGAACTATACTTATTAAAACCTTTAAAAAGTTTTATGGCCGTCATATTGATTTGATTGGTAAATATAACATGTCTCTCTTGGCTATTATTCTAGATATATTTAATTGACGCGTATACTATCTCCCTGATAATGTCTGTCTCCTACATCGTTAACACTGTTCATCACGTGCATTTTGCATACCGATAGTTCATTGGCCAATCACCCTATTTTACCGAGATTTCGCCTAATAGTTTGGATGCAACTATGGCGGGTGTGGCGCCAGGCAGGGTAAGCTTACTCTTCCGGACACCTGTTACCACTGTTTGTCGTGTGTTTTGTACACGGTGAACAGTCCATATGCTGATTACACTATTTTGCCTTATTACACTATTTTGCCTATACCGTTTTTTTAGGACTCCGAATTTTGTCTAATGGTTTGGATTGTTCGTATTTGGTTTTATTTTATTCGAATCTTAGTCCATTCTACAATTGTTGTTTTGAAATTTATTTATTCGCTTGTGAATCAGCCATTTTGAATTACTTCCGAATTGTGGTGGGATATGATTTCTTTATTCAGTACAAATAGAGTTCGAATCCATAGAGTACACGACACGGTGTACTCACTTTAAAATGCGCATTGTGTATTAAATACTGGATATTGCGTTGCTATTTTGTCGCGATAAGATAACAACATCAATATTGATTGAAATAAGCCAATACGAAATTATAATTCGTGTTTATAATTTCGAACTGAAATGAAATGAGGTTAACGTTCTGCTAACGTACTGTTCTGCTCCGAATGGGCTAATGAAGAAGGGCATACGCCTTACAGTGTGCTATGAGAGAAATTTAGCCCGGGCAGAGGCACTATGGCCTACTCTTATATCGAATTCCAACTGCCAAGGGATCTTTTACGTGCACGCCAATGGATTCACGGGACCCCGGTTTTTCGCATCATCCGAACGACTAGACAGCTGTCCTTGTCAGGCCCTCCGCCTTGCATCACTGATAAGGGGGAATCACACCGGAAAATCCCGATGAACAAGTCAGTTAAAGACATTCCACAAAGAATATTTTTAAATAATGTCTTAACATTGTTACAATGTGTCATATTTTTTCGCCTATTGCAGGTCTTTCTTTAGGCCTGAAATGTTATTTAAATTATTAATTAGACATTAATTAACTTATCCAGGCCATAATCAACACTCGATGATATCGGCAGCCTGCGATGTTTATTGGATTAGGTTCCGATTTGCTGTTCGAATTCCATTCATAATTAAATCAAAAAGTTTTTTTTTTATCCCACCGACTCTAGTAATGATGATCGAGGCTAGCCCCAGTATTCAATCGCTAAAATCTCGGTTCAGAGTGGATCAACTTGACTGAAATTTTCAGCAAATTCCCTTTACATTATGTAGTTTTTAACTATTATGGTGGGAACTGCCAGCTCTTTATCTAATCTCCCATAATGTATCTTTAATTTATTTAAATAAACTTACCACTATCAACATTTCTTTCCAATATTCCACACTCTACAACCTACAAATACAGAATTTTAAAGATCGGTTCTTATGGCCAAAACCTAACAAATAAAACCGTATGTTAGTATCAAATTTACCTAAATAAAGTATCGATTAGATGGGTTTTTTTTATAAACAATATTTTTATTCCGGTTGTCTGAATGCGGTTGGGGAATGGGCATAGCCTATGTAAAACCCCTCTCCCAGCTATTTCAGAAAAGTTTCTTAAAAAAAACTCTGATGGGCAATAACTCGATGATGCGTGATCCTGAAATGAGATACAAGTCGTGGAGCTCAGCAAATCGCTTACCTTTCAAAAATGATGTATAAATTATTATTTAGATATTTATCCACATGACCAGTGAAGCTATGTAATGGTGGGAGAGAGAGAGAGAGAGAGAAATGGTGTTTAACGTCCACTCGACACAAACTAGGTCATTTCGGGACTAAGATATGGTTTAATTTTATTTCAATAATTCGCTTGCGCGTAGGGGTCTTTAGCAGTGGGAGGAAACCGGAGGGCCCGGAGAAAAGTAATGGTGGGATGTGTAACATGTTTGAATAGATTTAGATAAATTTCAGTTTACTTTATTCTCAGTAACGTTATGGATGTTTGAGGTTTTAAAAGGATTTAGGTCGCGAGTTCGATCAGAGTGTTGGTCGGGAAAGTTTATCAGGATTTTAGCACGTGCGCGCTGTATCATAAAACCTGTCATTGAGTGAACTGGCGTGGTTTCGAATCCCTGGTTGTACGGGACAAGGAGTAGGGTCGCCTGTCCAACCTCGTGGGTTTTCTCCGGGTCCTCCGGTTTCCTCCCACTGCTAAAGACCCCTACGCGCAAGCGAATTATTGAAATGAAATTAAACCGAAATGACCTAGTTTGTTTCGAGTGGACGTTAAAACCCATTTCTCTCTCTCTCTCTCTCTCATCCTGATTTTCCGACGTGGTTTCCCCTAGTCGGGTGGGACTAAAACCCGAGATCCCGTGTATACATTGGCGTGCACGTAAAAGATCCCTTGCCAGTTTGAATTCGATGTACGAGTAGGCCATAGTGTTGCTGGCCGGGCAAAATTTCCCTCATTGCACACTGTATGCCCGTTTTCATTAGCCCATTCGGAGCAGAACAGTAGGACGTAAACCCCAATTTATTTCATTTTAAAAAGATTTAGCCTAAATAATCTCGAAAACCAAGCACCATTTGCTACCAAAAATAAACAGTCTCGATTATCCATTTGAAGGTAATATTATTAAATGGCGTGGTTGTTCTAATCAACTTCATATCTCGGCTATCCGATGGCCTAGGGGGTTGATTATTGCTTATCATGAGAATAAATATCTAAATAATAATTTATATCTCATTTGGGGCCAGAAAAACACCTGTAATAGGAAGATTTACCTCTTACATAATGCTTATTTAAACATGGGGGTGGATGGCCGAATGGTTAGCGCCTGCGCGTTCTATCATAACGTCTGTCATTAGTTCAGCTGACGTTTTTTCGATTCCCGGGTTGTACGTGACAATGAGTAGGGGCACCTTTCCAACCTCGTGAGTTTTCTCCGGGTTCTCAGGTTTCCTTCCACTGCTAAAGATCACTACACGAATTATTGAAATAAAATTGAACCATGTGTTAGTCCCGAAATGACCTAGTTACTTGTCTTTACTACACTAGGATCTGGAAGTATTGTTATATAACCCCCTCTCTCTCTCTCTCTCTCTCTCTCCGAAATGAGTGCAGGTTGCGATGGTGACCGGAACATAACTCAAAGGTTTCACTGACATAATTCAGAATCGAGGTTATATATATATATTATTTATTGTTACATTAGTTATATATATATATAGATATATCATTTATTGTTATATTACTTATGATGTATAGATATCTATATTAGCTTCCAGTACTAAATATATATTTTTATTGCCTTTGTCATTCCCTTTACTCTTAGTGTCTCGTTATTCCAATCTGCACGGATAGTGTTTATTGCGCATGCTCTCCGGATAAGAATATGACGTCACCGTTTGACATGACTTGTGGAATATATCAGTATATCTAGCCTCGTTCTTCGAGCTCCTAGTTACAAATGACGCCGAAACGCATAATGGTACACGATTCGTGTGCCAATGGTAAAATGTTTATTTTGTCTTCAATACTGGATATCAGAAGCCCATCTTTTCCCAGTAAGATCACAACATCAATGTTGATTTAAATTGACAAATAATTCGTGTTTTCAATGTCGAAGACTTTGGATGATATTGAGTTAGAGACTTAGCTACTTTAAAGTAAAACCTTGTATTCAGATGCTCGCCATGGTACAATAGACACTTAACCTCCGACACAGTAAAATATTAAAATGCTACTACATTGATCAGAAAAGCTAACACATGAAGAAAATGTGTCAGTATTTAACCGAAAGATTTAAATTCCAAAAAATTAACAGATTTTAAATATTTAAAATTAATGTTTAAATGTATATATTATTATGGGTTATGTGTACATATAAATATTAGCCTTTTTTATATATTCCTTTTTTTTTCTTTTTTTTTGGGGGGGACTCTATATATTAGGTAATTCATTTGTAACCGGGAGAGCGGTTTATATAGGCTTTACCTGCCCCCCCCCCCCCACACACACACACTCAGTTTCTGAATAAATATTGTTTATAAAAAAAATAAAGTAAAACATATTTATAATTTATATTGTGTTTAATTTTATGTTAATAAATACTTGTTAAATCACAGTAAAAACATAGGAGAACGCTAGATCGGAGACGGTCTTGCGCTTGCGCATTTTATGACATCATATGTGGATTATGCGTTAGGGTAAGGGTTAGGCTTGGCCCAGGGTTAGGGTTAGAGCTAGCCCAGACTACATCTCGAGACTATGACGAAATCTGCAGGTCCTAGCCATTGCACAGATCCCAGGGAGCAAGATTTAAAAAAAGGGCGGGATTGTTCATAACCACGTGTTTATGAGTTACGATTACCTTTTAATTATTATATATATGAATTACTGTTACCACGTGAATATTATATTTATGAAATACAATTACCATGAAAATTTTTTATTTATGGATACAGATTACTCCATTATCATTACCTCGTAAATACTGTATTTGAATAAAGATTACCATGACAATATAGTATTTATGAATTACGGTTACCTTGTAAATACTATATTTATGAATAAAGATTATCGCGAAGATATTGCACTACCATTACCTCATAGATGACCTAACCCTAACCCTAGCTCAGCGAAGCTTCCAATAACCGCTTGTGTTTGTTTATTATACAGAATATCCCAATAAAATGTTGTTACTAATCGTAACCCTAACCCTAACCCCGAAGCCTAAAGACTATGGTACGAATAAACGAATCTATTATGGCCTCTATACTAAACTTTAATATCCGAAATTGTCGGCGGGGGTGGGATGGCCGAATGGTTAGCACGTGCGCGCTGTATCATAAGACCTGTCATTGAGTCAACTAGCGTGGTGTCGAGTGGACGTTAATCCCCATTTCTCTCTATCTCTCTCTCGAAATTGACGATCCCAAAATTCTGAAATTTTAAAAGGTTATTTCTAATGACACATAAAGCAAACTCGTCTCATTAACTTTGCCTTTTAAGATCTCATGAATTTGGAGAAAGAGAGAGAGAGAGAGAGAGAGAGAGAGAGAAATGGGGTTTAACGTCCACTCGACACAAACTAGGTCATTTCGGGACTAACATACGGTTTAATTTTATTTAATTTACATAATTCGCTTGCGCGTAGGGGTCTTTAGCAGTGGGAGGAAACCGGAGGATCCGGAGAAAACCCACGAGGTTGGACAGGCGACCCTATTCCTTGTCACGTACAACCTGGGATTCGAAACCACGCCAGTCGACTCAATGACAGACTTTATGATACAGCGCGCGCACGCTAACCATTCAGCCATCCACCCCCCCCCCCCCATGAATTTGGAAGTAAACTCAATGATTTGATATACGAATTTTGATAAGGTTCCGAAATAAACAAGACCACAAAGTTTTATAAACTTCCACTGAGACGTTTGAATAATATGTACGGAAGAATAACGTTGCCAATATTATTTCAATGTCAGCAGTTCAAAATACGTATTTTAGTTTTACAATTTGCAATTTCTAGTGCTCCACAATACCATTGTCATAGTGTTAAAATACAAAATACACTTTTCGATAATACTAAATACAGTATAATAATTATTTTTGCACATTACACTTCTCCATTCTGCATTTTGCATAACAGACAAATGCATAATGGAACTTAGCATATTAGAACATATACCTTATATGGGATCTACGACGAAGCTCATTTGCATACGGAAAAAAGTCCGGACTAGGACGGAAATTAATCATTCACGCGATCAATCTACAAGGTCAAGGACTAAAATAAACCCGGAAAGCGGCAAAGATATGAGACGTTGTAATAATGCTAAAATATTATGTAAAAATAGTCAGTTCTCATATCCTTTGTTGTATGTCTTTAACTGACTTAGTTCGTTGGGATTTTCCGGTGTGGTTTCCCATTTGTGGTTCAAGATGGAAAGCCTGACAAGAACAGCTGTCTAGTTGTTCGGATGGGACTAAAAATCGAGGCCCCGTGTACACGTTGGCGTGGACGTAGAAGAACACTTAATATATTTGAAATTCCCCTCATTAGTCCCGTGGGTACAGAACAGTGCGCCGCCCCATAGGGCCATAAGAGTCTATGGGGCCCATGCATTCTTATACTATATCACTGACCCTTATAACAGTATGACAAAATCGTCTACATACCTTTTAAAAAAAAGATTTTTGATTCCTCAGAAAATATATAGTGCAACTGAATCCTCTAGATATGACTAGTGTTGAAAAGGAGAGGGGGGGGGGGGTAAAAACGGTCTCCGCCCAGCACATTTTTTTCTACTCAAGGGCCCTGGTAATATAACACTAATCCACCTATCATGGACTTTAGAACAATCGTTTTGTGGGTTTTATTTTAGATTTGGGAGATTTTAAGACTCGACTCAAAAAGGGAATGAAATCAAATGGGGTTTAACGTCCTACTGTTCTGCTCCGACTGGGCTAATGAAGGCGGGCAAACGCCATACAGTGTGCTATGAGGGGAAATTTGTCCCGGGCAGCGGCACTATGGCCTACTCTTATATCGAATTGCAACTGCCAAAGGATCTTTTACGTGCCACTCAAAAACGACTCGGGAGTTGGCCGACCGTTTGGAATGTATTTTATAACATGTTACAAACTCTCAACTAGTATAAAAATGAAAAAAGACCCCGTATATTTGTATTTATCAATTTCCAACGAGCTAAAATCTTATATCTCTTTGAGGCGAATCAGGGGATAAGTGAGAGGGACGCAGTGACGAGTTTGCGGCATGTTTTTTTTTGTTTTAGCGCTCCCTTTAGTTTTTGTGCCCCTCTCACAAATGGCAAGAAGTCACGTGGTAACAATGCGGTTTTCAACATTATATTCATAATCATAACGCGTAACCAGTGTCAAACATATACAGTGGGTCAGATATGCTACAAATCGACTCTATTGGTAGTTCTACAGTCAAATACAGCACACGGCATTGGGTGCCCCCCCCCCCCCCGCATATAAATATTGTTTTGGGGTGCCCGGGCGGGATCTTGTTCCTCGTGCAAACTCATGGGTCACCACACCCCTGTCGCGAATTCTAGGGGTTTCCGTTAGTAGCAAATTAAAACTACGCTACGGACAATACGCCGGAAACGGACATAAGAATGCTACAAACTGTTTTAATACAACACGTAACAAACTACATCTTTAAGTCCACTTTGTCGTGGGTTTTTCTCAAAAAAAAAAATTCGTAAGAAAAGGCCCCTCACATTTTATTGGACGTCTTCAATGATCTTCAAAATGTCTTAATGCGCGGCGAATACATCATCGAGACGTGTTGTCCTTTGATATTGGATTATGCAAATAAGGATATAAGAAAATAGTTATTAAAAAAGGAAAGTAATATAACATATTAAAACATTAAAACTTACCTGAATAACTACCAGTATCTCCCAGATTAAAATCAAATTAAATATAAAATTCATCCCTTTAGCTTCAGTTTCCTAGGATCGATAATCAGAATTGAGTTTTATCCCACACAAGTTATTTCCATGCTAATTCACCACCGACCTAGTCCACCTATATAATTAATCTTCATATCAAAAACTATTATAGATATAAATGTCTTTAAGTCTCGATTAAATATTATTCGATCGTTTAGTGTACTATTAATAACGTTATCGATGCGACTGGTCGATGTCGACTACAAGCAAGGCGAGTGATTTGATTGATGGACCACTGTCAATTATAATCGAATATGGCCATATAATATGCCCCCAAGATCCCCACTAACTAATGTGTCACACTTTCCCTTCGTATACATTAATTTATACCGTTTTATATCACAGCTCCGGAAGATTAAAGTTTAAAATAATCCAACACGGTCTGATCCCCATGGTGCCGCGTGCTTTTGCCCGGGTTCAGAGGTTACGATGAAACTACGTAATCTAAGTAATGAAAATCTTGACCGATTGGCTCCCAAATTCATTTACAATACGACAATAAAACCAACTCGGTAACTCCATATGACTTCAAAACGACATCTTGAGGCATATCAAAACCACTTAACCCACATATAAAAAGTTCAAAAAGGTCCAAAAAATATGAAGATTTAAAATCTTCAAAGGGAGTGTGACATTCTAACGAGGGGTGATTATGAAATTGATATGTGATACCAGCAATAGATTGTGTTGTTATTGTGAATAAAATAGCGCTAACACTCTAGAAACTTGGTTGAAGAGACAAACTAAGGATTAGAAGACGGTGTATCAACCTCTTAATTAAATTTAAATATTTCCCTTAACATTACTTAGAATAGTCGAGAATACTTTGAAACTCTTTATTGTTTTGGTTTTTTTCAATAGATATGTGTCTTTTGTTTTCAAGATGGACCTCAAATTTATCTTAGGAAATTAATAAATCTGTTTTTATTAAGTAAAAATATTTCATATATTTTTTCTCTTTTCTTCCTTTCCTTTTTGTTTTTAAACATCGAAAGAACTATTATTTAATGTTCATTTTCAAATGATATATGAATAAATGAAAGAATAATAATGTAATATGTATTTTCAAACGATGTATAGAAATAACCCGTAGCCGTTTGTAATAGTTCGCACGTCAATATGTGAACTGTATACCGATTGATGAAATAACTAACATAACATTACAAAAATATTCCGTACCTATCTGCTCGAAGTTTTGTATATTATAAGTAACGTATAGTGTTCTGGCGAAACCAAAATAGATCCAGACAGCGGCAAAAAAATATGACACATTGTAAACAATGCTAAAACATTATGTAAAAACTGGCGAATCCAAAATAGATCCGGACAGCAGAAAAAATATGACACATTGGAAAAATGCTAAAACATTATGTAAAAATATTCTTTGTGAAATGTTTTTAACTGACTTGTTCATCAGAATTTTCCGGTGTGATTTCCCCTTGTCAGTGATGCAGGATGGAGGGCCTGACAAGGAAAGTTGTCTAGTCGTTCGGATGGGACGAAAAAGCGAGATCCCGTGTTCACATTGGCGTGCACGTAAAAGATCCATTGGGAGTTTGGAATTCGATATAAGAGCAGGCCGTAGCGCCGCTGCCTGGGCAAAATTTCCCTCATAGCACACTGTATGGCGTATGCCCGTCTTAATTAGCCCAGTTTAGGAGCAAAATAATAGGACGTTAAACCCCATTTCATTTCATTTAATTATAACAGATTAAGGAATGCTACAAGGTTGTGTGCTGTTTCCCTTTCTATCTATAATGTTTATAAATGAATACAAAACTGAACTAAATATAATGATAGTAAATGATCCTTCTTCGGCACTTTATTTCAAATTTCATTTCAGCTAACAATTTGTAATTTACATTCATATTTTTATCAAACAAATAGTTTGAATATGTTGGTCATAAAGGAATGATATTATTTGAAAGCATTCGGTTCGTGTGAAAATGGGGGGTTGGATGGCCGAATGGGTAGCACGTGCGCGCTGTGCTGTATCATACGGTCTGTCAGTGAGTCAACTGGCGGGGTTTCGATTCCCCGGTTGTACGTGACAAGGAGTAGGGTCGCCTGTCCAACCTCGTGGGTTTTCTCCAGGTCCTCCGGTTTCCTCCCACTGCTAAAGATCCCTACGCGCAAGCGAATTATTGAAATAAAATTGAACCATGTGTTAGTCCCGAAATGACCTAGTTTGTGTGGAGTATGCGTGAAACCTCTCTCTCTCTCTCTCTCTCTCTCTCTCTCTCACTCTCTCTCTCGTGTGAAAATTTTGACCTAAGACGTCAATTTTTCAAAATTGAACTTTAACGGTCGAGTTTTCATGTCAAAGTCGTCTTTGCCATTCATGTTATCACGTATGAGTAAACATAAAATGTATATTTATATAGGGACGAAGCCGAGGATGGAATGAAATGGGGTTTAACGTCCTACTGTTCTGTTCCGACTGGGCTCATGAAGACAGGCACACAGTGTGCTATGAGATACATTTTGCTCGGGCAGCGGCACTATGGCCTATTCTTATATCGAATTCCAACTGCCGAGAGATCTTTTACGTGCACGCCAATGTATACACGGGACCTCGGTTTTTCGCCCCATCCGAACAACTAGACAGCTGTCCTTATCAGGCCCTCCGTCCAGGATGGGATGAGAATGTGACAAGTTGTTTGTCAATTTTATAAACTCTTCAGTCGAATTAACGGTTAAATAGACTGTTTACACAGGAAAATCCCGAGGAATTTTCTCGGTCAACACCGATATCGAACCCAGAACCCCCTGGCGACATATTCACCATGCCCCCAACCCCCCACCCCCATGAACTAATAGATAAACCCTTTAAATAAAATTAGGAGAAATCCGTCTTATTTTTGAATTCGTTTTGCCATTGAAAAAATACGTTAACTGAAAATGTCAGAAGAATTTAAAGACATTATTTGCAAACCTGTAAAAAGTTTTAAAAAAGATGTTTTTTTTTAATACATTTCTACAAATCTGTAATTGTTTCCGATTGCTACGATAAAAATTATATTTTCTTTTTGTCGCTAATGCGATTTCTTTGTACAAGCTGTTTGTTGTTGTTTGTCACAAAAATAAATAACATTTGTTTACGAATAATATTAGAGAAATTATTTTTGCACTTATTAGCCGAGTTTTTAGGCGATTGAACTATTGACTTTGTGATATATACCAGACGAATGGCCCATACATCACGAGATTTAGGTCTGGGGTCAGACAGCCAAACTTTCGTATTTCTTTTAAGCCAAATATCGTTCAAAATCATCCATTGATGGAGTCATAACAAAAATATATTTTTCTTAAACCATTATTTATCATATACGTTTTAAAAAAATACATCAAACAGCGATGGGAAATCGTCAATTGGTAGTAAACAGTGGAAAACAAACTTCTTTTTTTTTATCTCTTATGATATGTATTCTATGTATCTCCATAATATAAGCATGTTATATCTATATGTATTCAAACTTTCTGTTATATGACCCGCAAATATACATAAATTAATTTTTTAACTGATTTTGTATATTTTTTCCTCTATTAAGATTATTGTGATGTGTTGTTTATAAATGTATTAGCTATATCTTTTGTATTATATTTTCCACGAAAGGCAGGATGTTAGAAAGGATATTTTAGCCTAATCTTCAATCCTTCTTAATTAATGCCATCATTATTATTATTATTATTTCTTTCGCGAGAGAGAGAGAGAGAGAGAGAGAGAGCGAGAGAGAGAGAGAGAGGGGGAGATGTGTTTAACGTCCACTCGACACAAACTAGGTCATTTCGGATTTCGGGACTAACACATGTTTCAATTTTATTTCAATAATTCGCTTGCGCGTAGGGGTCTTTAGCAGTGGAAGGAAACCGGAGGACACGGGGAAAACTCACGAGGTTGGACAGGCGACCCTACTCCTTGTCACGTACAACCGTATTTCTTTGGCAAATTATTATTCTGAAAAATGAGCCGCTGTGGCTCAGTGAGCAAGATATTGACTCGCTCGGGTTCGGAACTAGCCGAGGAAGTTCTGGTGTTGTTTCCCCTTGTCAGTGGTGTAGGACGGAGGGATGAAAAACCGAGGTTCCGAGTACACATTGGCGTGCACGTAAAAGAACCCTTGACAGTTGGAATTCAAATATAAGAGTAGACCATAGCGCCGCAGTCCCTCATAGCAAACTGTACGGCGTATATGTCTGTCTTCATTAGCCCAGTCGGAGCAGAAAAGTCGATAAAACGCCTACATCATTTCAATTATCCATAAAATAAAACCACATCTGCCCTGTATAGTAGAATATATATATATATATTGTAGCTGACTGCTGTTTAGATTCAAGACCTGTATATGTCAGGAGGAGGGTTAACACGTGCGTGTTGCTTCATAAGGTCTGTCGTCGAGTCAAGCGGCATAATAGTTTCGATTCCACGCTTGTAGGGTCGTCTGTGTCGAGTGGACGTTAACGTCTCTCTCTCTCTCTCTCTCTCTCTCTCTCTCTCACCTCCCTGTACCATGTGTTAGTCCCGAAATGACATAGTTTGTGTCAAGTGGACTTTTAACCCCATCTCTCCCCCCCTTTCTCTCTCTCTCTCTCTCTCTCTCTCTCTCTCTCTCTCTCATATGGCAGTGAGTCGGATTGCCTGTCTAACCTCATAGGTATTAGTAATTTTAGTAATTTGTTTATTTTATAAATTTTAATAATTTTAATAATATATATTTCAATTTGTTACATGTGTTTAATAGTTGCTTTACTATTTGTAATAATTTTATTGTAAATTTATCAAGTTTAAAAGTTGAATTTTATGTTTGTACATAGATCTGAGATTTCGTTTTAATGTAAATCTCTTTATTAAAAATAAATTATTATTATTATTATTATTATTCCCCAGCTCCCCCACTACTAGAGATATCAGCGCACACTCGAGTTATTGAATATGTTAGTCCCAAAATGACTTAGTCTGTGTTGAGTTTACGTTACTCAATGAACCACCGTGGTCCCATTATTAATAAAACGTTTTGTACTTACTGTAATCTACATCAAAGTCACAAATTGTTATTGATAGTCGACGTATAAACTAATTTTTAGACGATTATTTATCAAATGTTTTATGAAATACATCAACACCTGATGAGTACCTGTTATAGTGTAGATTAAAGTCAATTTATCACCCAATAATACATTCTACAGTAGATATAGCTTGTGTGATAAATTTCATAATCTACAGCGATATCTCCTTAGGATATCTCCTTGGTCAATCAAAAAGGGACTGCTTTTTTTTATTTTCATTTTTTTATTAAATGTAACTTATTTCTTATTAAAAAGGAACTATTTTTATTTAATTTATTAAAAAGGAACTATTTTTATTTAATTGGCCTTGATGGAAACACTGGGACAATATAAAGGACTTTGCAATCGTTGAATTGCTGTCAAAAAATGATGTATCACTACGCCGTAATATACTCAGGTTTAGTAAAATTGAAATCTATAGCAAAGAATTATATTTATTTATTTGTGCATGTAA